TTTTAAATAGAAGTATATATTTTTTTATTACGGAATTTTATTCTACGTAAAGAAATAATTTTTGTTTAAAAAAAATTTTTATACGACTTCTATTTTTTAAGATATTTACAGAAATATCTCTCTACAAAATTATTATATGATTTCAATAATTTTTTACTCGAATTCTATCAACTTTACCGAAAAATAGCAAGAGATAAAAATTATCTATTTTTTTCTCATAGAGCTCTGAGAATTTTAAAAAAATTTTTTAAAAACTTCTTAGTACTTCAAGAAAATGCAAGAAAATGCAGTACTAAAAAGTTAATTACTCTTCATGGAATATCGATTTCACGGATCAATCCTGATAGTCCTAACAAACTATTATATATATATATATATATATATATATATATATATATATATATATATTCTTTTTTAAAGTATTCTTAAACTATATATATATACATACATACATACACACACACACACACACACACACACACATATATATATATATATATATATATATATAGAATTCATATATAATTATTTTTTCTCGAGTTGTGTTAACATCGTTCGTTTAATCTTTTCACTTTTGCTCGTGTCTCATTCAGAAGTTTGTCAGGACTATTAGAATCGATCGTTATTCATGAAATTAATATTCCATGAAGAGTAATTATCTTTCGCGCACTCGCGCCGGTGATTTTGATGTTTTTAACGTCGACGATTTTAAATTAGAATAATCTTATAAGGAAGCACTCTATATGAGCAGCGAGCTGCAAGCACCATTCTTCCTGTATGAAATCTGATTTTCTCATCTTATTTTCTCTTTTATTTCTGTCTCTTGGAACACAGAGATAGCAGTCGTCGACGAGGCGACGGGCGCGAGATGCTGCCGTCGCGATCGCGACTCGGTCTCACCGGTTTGGGGTCAAGCCAGGATCTCGGATCGAGCAACGGTGATCTGTATTACAATTCGCGGCCGGAGGGTCACTGGTCCTATCAGCCGCCGCCGCCGCCGGTTATCACGCACCAGCCGAAACCTTCGGCGACGCAGCACTTTCAACCGTACGAACGCGGTTACCCGAAGACGCTGGAGAGCTTAGCCGAGAAAGTAAGTCCATCGTGATGTTCCGCCGATAAAGAAATCCCGACGTGAGTCGAGGTTCATCCGAGCATCGGGGAATAAACCGAAGGAGCGAGAATCGCTAGATTAGATTGATTAAATGTCGAAATAGGAGTCAGAATGAGTTTTTGAATTTTAATATCCAACTGTCCCATTGACTCCTCATGATTTGATAATTTACATTATAATATAATATGTATAACGTGTTTTAGATTAAAACAGATTAAAACTGCTTGCGTGAATAAAATGTCGGAGCTTGCAAGAGAAACTTTTCTTTATCGAGTAATAATGTTGTTTGTTATGATATGGGTAAACGATGGCATGAATTAAATTTATATTCTAGTCGTTGACGCCGTGATAATATTACTTGTCGCGATTCAAATCGATGTAATACCTCCCAAGTGCTCGATGCCTCGCGGATCTCGACCTCACGTCGACAGTAGTTCACACATAGATGTTCTAGACGATGTGGATCGAGCACCCTTTCACACCTGTCTGCACCAATTCGATACTTGTTTGTCCTTCACTGTCTCCAATGAACGTTACTTTACGACTGAAAGAAAGTGGTGAACTCGTGGCAATGTCTCGGGACACTCCCGACAGAAGTCAGGATGATGTATGCGCCTACTGTCGCGATCTCCGAGTCATTCGGATTATTCGATGTGATAAAAATCGAAGAACGATCCGCGATGTTATATATCTTATGCGGGAAATTTATGTGGAAAATGAAAAAGAAAAAATATAAAACACGCGTTGATGAGATCGAAATATCGTTCGTGTACTAACGATATGAGGCCTACACGTCGAAGTTCCACACGCAGAGAAGTTTTTAAGAAAATATAAGCATTCATTAACCAAAGATGTGCCATAATAATCATGCTCGATTAGAATATACATATAATGTAAAAAAAATATACATATAATGTAAAAAAATATACATATAATGTAAAAAAATTTTAAGGCATGGAAAATTTAGAGAGTAAAAAACATAAAACGTTGTGCTTGTTTATGTACGCAGAAGTATTTTTTTCCAAGAATTTTTTCATAGAACTTTCTCAATGGCTTTGAAAAAAGTATGAAAAAGAATTCCCATATTGAATATACATATATCCTATATATCATGCATTACTTAAGTGCTACAAGAAAAAAAATTGAATTAACCTGATAATAAACGAATTAAACGTATTTTGCTTGTAGGAAACAGAATTTCTGATTTTTAAAGTCGAATTTGGTTTAATTTGAAGTAGTCTTATATAGATTTGTTTCTATGCAACAGATGATAAATATTTTTATATATAATAATAAGCAATGCAACGCAATTATAACTATTATTATCCAGAAACGCAACAAATATTCTATTTTTCTGTAATTTTTATAAACGCGCAAATAATAGCATATACATGACACAGTAGTTGCTACTCGAGAAAAAAATTTTTTTTATACTGTTACTAGTAACGAACACTTCAAACTGTTGCGCAGTGGTATATTTTTTAATTTTTTTGACAAAAATACTAAATAGAAAATATTTTTACCAAAGATCATTCATGATTTTAAAATAAGTAGGAAGGATGTGGTCATCTATTGGTGCTTGCATTATTCTTTTATGTTAAGCGCAATTCAACATAGACTTCTTTAAAGTTGTACTATGTATTTGATCATTTAATTATATATTTGGTACAAAATACTGCAGGTATCCAGAACATTTCTATATAACTATAATTTATAACTTTAAAAATTCTTTATATTTAAAAATTAAATAACGTATATGTGTAAAATAACGCATATGTGCAAATTACGAAAGTGATATTTGTGTAACTTGAAAGTAACCTATTTTGTTGCACGCGATCATATTGAAGACTGAAATTAAAAGATTTATACATGCTTTTTCCAATTCTGAAAAAAATATTTTGCTTCTTATTGCTATTCGAATTAGTAACTTGAGTTTTATGATGAAATACGATGATTTGTTTTTTGTTCTCGCTTTTATTTCTATTTTTTGTTTTTCATTAAATATAATTAGTTTTTACATATAATATATTTTTTGTTCTGAGATATTTTATTCTTATTTTTTGCATTATACACAAATGTCGGATACAGACTAAAAGAAGAAATTTAAAGAAACTTTACAATTAAAAGTCATTTATTATATTTATATGTGACTTGCTACCCATTATATTATATTTCCTGTAATATATTTTCGATTTTATATGATAATTAATATGATTTACCAGCTTCTAGAGGTTTTGGCCGCGAAATCAATGAAATATACTATTGTGTGCTGCGTCGAAAATACATATATCAGTATGGAATATTTTCTACTTTTCTGATATTTTTTTATACATATGTTAAACATTTTTATATACTAGAAGTTATAAAATATATCTGATTATTTATTTATTGCAGCTATATATAACTTTCATTAAAATACTTTATCTGAATTTATCAGTTCTATCGGAAATTTTAATTTTTTACATTTTAGCTTATATAAAAACGTTATCAATTTCTTTCATTTTCGCATATGTCGCATAATTTATTTATGTATTTTTATGTATATATTATATAATACATATATATAATATTTTTTTATTATGTAATATATAATATGTAGGATATCTCACACTCTTCTCCGGGCATTTTGTGGGGACGTAGAACAGATTAAGGTGAACATAAAAGTCCTAACCGTTTCGCGATATTCGCAATAATTATCGAGATATTAATTGTAGAAAATTTGTAAATGCAGAATATGGTAAATATGTTATAGTAGCGATTGCCGTCGTGTACTTATATTTTAGGTCAAATTAAACAAAAAAGTCCTCTACCATTTTCCAAATAATCACATAGATTTTTAATTATTAATTAAAGAAAATTATTGTACGATTTTGCGTGATAATGCACTTATCTTCTTTAATTAATGATTAAAAATCTATGTGATTATTTGTAAAATAGTAGAGGACTTTTTTGTTCAATTTGATTTAAAGTATAAGTACACGACGGCAGTCGTCACTATTATAACTCATTTACCATATCCTGCATGATCATTCACAAATTTTCTATAATTAATATCTCGATAATTATTGCGAATATCGCAAAACGGTATAGGACTTTTATGTTCACCGCAACCTGTTCTACGTTCTCATAAAATGCTCGGAAGAGAGTGCGGGACATCCTATATATTATAATATAAGAATATCTTATAATATAAGAATATCTTATATTATAAGATATATTATATTATAATATAAGAATATCTTATAATATAAGAATATATATTACATATAAGAATGCTATAATATACTAAACAATTAAATATTTATCTGAATACATATGCATTTCCATATAATTTGATCACTTTCAAAGACATGATTCAGTTACACAGATTTTCCTATCGTAATTCTATCAAATATTTTAAGCGAAGTATATCCTAGTCGTGCAATGTGTACAAATTTTGCAAATTAAGCATATTTGCAATTATATTATCAATATGCTATATTAACAAACATTTTCTGCGTGCATCGGTAAGAAATCTGAAAACACAAGAAAAAATGTCAGGGAATAAAGTGTCTGACAGTATTTCCGAACGACGCGGAGCGTCGACGGTTCGCCGATCCGCTTGCGTACTGACCACGTGCTCCACATGACTAATCGGTTCTATGAATGAATGCTACGTTGAAATTAACCAGGATTTCACAAAGGTAAAGACAAACTCAAACTCTATCTTGATATCTAGACTTGTGTATGACTGCGATTTGCTGTGTATAATGCCTCTAATATGGACGAGTATAAGTATTCTCCCCTCGCTCTCCTTCCGACGTCACCTATTTGGAGACAAATGCGCGAGTGCATCCGCCCACGCGATGCATCTTGAAAGTCCCACTTTCGGAAGAATTGACGGCATAAATTCTTCAAGTCATCCCTACCGGCGGGTCGTGATGTTAGCGTCGAATCGCGAAACGACCGGCATTGGATTTATTTGTTTGGGGGGAGGGGAAGAGAAAGAATAATTAAATGTACATGAACGAGAAAGATTTCCAAAGTTAGCGATATTCTCTCCCTCGCCGTTCCATCGTCGCGTCTTCTTTAATAATTGAAGAAGCGTCGTCGCCGGATACAATAATAACAATTTGCAGATTTAATTATTCATTAACCGGACTGTACTTTTTGTTAACATGGAAATTACACGGTTCCAGAGAAAAGTCGGCGGAGTTTAAACTTCGGTGCTAGAGTGATGTGGGTTAATGAAAAGAGGGGAAAAGAAAATTCGCGGGTAGCGAATAAATTATTCTGCAATAGGGATGCATTTGAAAATTAATAAACGAAACGATCGCGGGGCGTTTGATGGCGAACCAGCGAAATTTTCACGCTGCACCTGTGCGTTCGTTTAACGAGTTCTGCCTGGCAAGAAGCGCCTAGAATAGCGGATATTTATGTACATTCTTAAAACGTAAGAAAGTCGCGTACACGCGCCGCTATTCCGTGACGTGAACCCTGACCTTTCTCTCTTTTCCTGCTGTGAGCTTGCTGTTCTTTGTTCTTTCGATTGCGTTTTCTGTCTGTGCTCTCGATAAGACTCTAATCGCCGTCACGATGTATTAGCGTTACCGTGGTCGATCGATCATCGATTGTTCTGCTGCTCCGCGTGGCAGTGGCGCACAGTGATTTGAAAAGTGAAAAACGCGAGAAAAATGAGGTTTCCGACATTGTTATAAATCTTGGAAATGTTTATCTTATAATATTCTACTAATAAGCTGTCAATTCAACTATATGCTCTTTTCTAGAAAGTATATTAAAAGTTTTTGTTATATATTAAATATTCAAGTTCAAAATTCAGAAACTTTTTTAATTATTGAAAGAAAATAACGCGGTTTATCTATATTTATAAGCATACCTTAATATACAAACTTAAGTATTAATTCAAATATATCTGTGATTGTTAAATATATTTAAACTTTATATCTAATGAAACTACATACAATTTGAAGAATTTTTAACTAAATTTTTTATGTAATAAGCGAATTCTTGCGAATGAATATATAATTATTATGAATATATTAAATAAAATGCAAGGGAAATAATTAACCAAAATTTAATTGTTACGTGCAACTTTCCATATTATAACAATGTTTCACATCGTTTACTTTTCAGATTTATTATTAGTTCGAGGTTCTGAGTGCAACAGACATGCAAGAATTTACAAGAATATTAATGTTTCGACTAGTGACTGTTAATGGCGTGGATAGTGGATGTTTTAACATCAAATTATTCTTAAGTATATTTATATCAAGTAATTTCTAGTGCTCTACTGATTAAATCAGTTTTCTCCACAATTTCAAAATCCCTATTTATGTAACAATGACTGATAAAATATTAACACTTTAATATTTACTAGAAAATGTTTTTATCACGTATTTTCTATTTCTAACCACTGTGTGACGGCAGCGTCGTGTTCCACAAGTCTGCCGCGGATTTGAAAGATTTATTAGAGATTATTCTTTTGCGATTAACATATGTAAAAGAAAACATATACATATTTAATTCGGCACAGAGTCATATTAAATATATTCATATCTTATAAAAGTTTTACGCGCCCTATATCTTAATTCTTCATTGGAGTTTATAATAACGTCGCCGTACGAGAAAAACAAAGCAATCGATGTCGTCGATCGATCGTAGGCAGATCGTATCTCAACGAGACGTTACTGTTGCAATTGCCGTTGACGTGATCCTTCGTACAAAATGTCCAAGATCCGTATTAATAATTTTCATTCGAAATTTGTCTCAAGTGAAATATTCAGATTTTTATTTAGAGTTGAATCCAAGTTTGTCAGATGAATTACATACAAAGATTGGAGTATTAATATGCACAACTGTACACCGATCTTCTTTAATTAATAACTAAACATGTACGTGATCATTTGGAAAATGATAGAGGACTCTTTTGTCCAGTTTGACGTAATATACAAGTATACAGCGACAGATGTCGCCATTACAGCTCATTTATCGTATGACTCGTGATCATTCACGAATCTTCTTGGATTAATACAAATTTTACGTAGTTGTTCGCAAATGGTAGAGGAATTTTTTGTCCAGTTTGATCTAATTTACCTGTATACTGTGGCTTCTTCGTGAGATATCGGACACTTTGTATGCGGCATTTGTTTTTGTAATTGCGATTCAACTGAAAAAACTTTCATCTAACTCATCTAATATCTTTATTTCTTACATATAAATCTTAAGATGAGATTATATAACGTTATAAATAAAGACAAGTTAATATATATATATATATATATATATATATATATATATATATATATTTATATTATTCAGAAATAATTTATTTAATGAAAAACACAAAATATTAGATTGAGATATTTTAGATCGAGATATGATTTTAGATTGAGATATGATATTTTTAAATGTCGGAAAAAGATGTCATTGTCATCAAAATAATCATATTGTTTTTTTTTATGTGAAATTATTATAATATCCAAATATAGATGTAAATTATCCAAATATAAATTTAAATTATAACATTATTGAAATTCATTATTTAAAATTTTTCTAAAAAATACATATTGTTGCTTATACATGAAACAATAGTTGTTAACTTGAATATATTAGTTTTAAGTGCATACTAATTTTTTTCTGTATAGAAATAAGTTTTAAGTAATATCTATTAATACGGACTCATGTTCTCGTCATCAAAGAACTGAATGAACAAAAATGCACTGTTCATAAAATTAAAAAAAAGAAATGAGGGACGAAAAAGGATCCGTACTCGACGGCAATCGGCAACGCGAGGGAAAGCCTCGCTTTATCCATGCGAGGAGTGTCCACAGGTTTCACTTAGAATATTTTACTCACGGCTATAGGTACACCCCTTCTACACGGGGCCCGTGATGCCCTCGAACGGCGGTCGGCGTATGTCGACCGGTGGCGGAATGCAATCAGTCGGCGGCAGGTTGTCAGGCCAAACCCAGTCGACCCATTACGGCTACGGCCAGCATACCGGAAGCGGAAGGATCATGCCGAGAAGTGGTTCCGACCAGCATCTACCCCGAGTCGATTACACGAGTATCACGACGCCGGCGCGACATACCCTTCTTAGATCCAGCTTGAAATCAGGTCTGTAATGAGTTTACCTACCTAGAAGAAGAGAGAGAGAGAGAGAGAGAGAGAGAGAGAG